GCCTTGTAGGTGGTAAGTGACGCGCTGACAGCTCCTCTATATACTTGACTAGATCTGATTCCTGTTAGTTACTGAGTTTCTGTTGGTTCTCGTTGGCGACGCGTCGGGGAGCCTGCACACCTCAGTGCGCACGGGACAACGTGTTGCGATCAACACTGTGTTTTTCTGCAAGCTTTGTATATACAAGTTTGTCGCCTAGCTTCAGATTATCAATCTCTGCAAGCGCATCTGAAATTCCTGTCATGGTGGTTGAGTTTTTACGCGTTGAAATCTACTGCAAATGTTGCGCCCTGATCGTTGGTTGACTCCGATCGTTGGGTGCACGGACACGGTAAGTCTATCTTTCCACCCACAATAAAAACTGTAACAACGCAGGCAAGAAGAAAGATATCCAGAACAGGTGTGAATCCGCTACGAGGCATAGTTACAGGAGTGCTGGGATGATAAGAACACTAGGATATATTCTGTGACGGTTAAGAGGAGAAGTGGTTCACGTGCTGTTGGCGGTGGTCTAGTGCTACTTCCTCATGTTGTTGAGCACCTCTTGCCTCAGCTGCATCACAAAGACGTCATCACAACAGATCCCGCAGCGAGCCTTAGAGAGGAAAGATACGGACAACACAATACACTTGTTTACATTTTGCCCTTGATACCGCAACAGAAAGACTACCAAGGAGGTACTCCACTGCCAGAAACGTCAACTGCCCACCGCAGCCTTGCTGCCTTGGAACAGATCTGCGGTATTTCTCATAAGTCACCACAGGCGCTTAGTTGATGACAATGGGGATGATAGAGACAATGATATTAACACGAAGGGTATCAAGGTTGCACAACTGTTACCCCCAAGCTAACTGAAACCTTACCTGATGGCTTGAATGGAAGATGCCGACGCTCAGCCATACCTTGACTCGACTTTTATCAACAGATCCGTTGATATTGTTCTTGAGCACAAGGCCGATTGCACAGCGACAGAGCGGCAACAGATGTTTGTTAACATGGTCGTTTCATTCAACGCCGATCTCATTGGAAACCGTTTCGCCGACCGCATCTTCTCCACGCTTTCATTCTCGTGGTGAGCAGCAGGAATGAGAACATCCTTTGCGCGTTCCTCGCATCGGAGTCTGGGAAACTGTTTGGCAATTTGACAGCTGCGGAACGCATCTTGTGTGCGGCGAAACAAGGCAAGGGAGGACTTAGTGTCCTGCTGTTGATGAAAGCGTTCCTCGGTCACGACGTCAACAACGAGAAGACGGTGCGATTGGCCGCCTTAATTTTGGAAGGCCTTATGGAGTCAGGCCAATCAGCCCGTTTTGGTCTCACAGTGAGCCATCGATTGGTCGTTTGTAATCACATGACGGATATCATCGGGCTCTGTAGGGGCATGGATCTGGGAGACTGCACTGATATCTGGGTACGAGCGCATGCAGCAGAACTTGATCTCTGGGAACGGGCCTATACATAGACGTTCATACCTGATCTCCACTCCGAGATCTGATGATTTATTGCTTTTTGTTCTGTTTTAGTTGATAGACCCCCTGTGGCATCGGTTCTTCCTGCGAGTTCAGAATTAATTTCGGTCTTGGGAAAAGGTGTACTGCCAATGTAGGTGCCCCAGAAGGGTGATTCATATGGTACATCCATGGACACGGATCTTAGTGCTGAACATCTTTAAAGTGGTCTTCAGACCTTCTCAATCAGTGTAGGGACTGAAGGGACTGGCATTTGAAGCCGCGCGGAACGACGATTGATCGGTGTTGTAGTATGTTGGTATCTAAAACAGTAAGTGCTGATCTAACTTGAAAGACCTCATTACTCACATCCCAAAGCCCACCTTCTAGGCTCTTCAGAATGTTGCCTTCCAATCGAAACTCATACTTCCGATCAAGTATGAATTTCGACCTATAGCCAGCCAGCGCCGTCACTTGTATCTCCGAAAACAATACTGGCAATGCGCCAACGAATAGTTCTCTCCTTTGCTCCGCACACTTGGCTTCAGTCGCAAACTGAATGCACACATTCGATCCAGACTTCAGTTCCATGAGCCCGTCCAGAGCTGCTTGCAATCTTTCCGGAGGCTTGGGTACGCCGAAGATATATGCCCGGAAAGATCCACGATCATGCGTGATCGCACTCAGACGTACTTCTAAGCTTGATACTAGCTCTTTTGGTAGAAGCCCGAGCCCCAGTTGGTCAGTGTTCAGAAATTTGCCGATCAGTCCTTGTCCGTCTCCGAAGATAAAGGTTGACGTGCGATAGTAATTCTCACTCAGTTCCCTCACGAACTGAGCGTCAACATAATCTGCACTCCAGAAGTGTTCAGGAAAGTGTGCTTTCCTCCAGCGTTGTTGATCGTAGCAGTAGCATTTCGTCACTGGGTCCATCGTTGAACGAAAATAGTCGCTGTCGATCCGTTGCTCCTTGGTGCCGAGATGCCAATAAACCATGTCACGCAGCTCACGAGGCAGCTTGAACATGAACAGATCAGTCAATGACCGGCATTCAGACCTTGCAAAAGCTTCCAGATTGAGCTGGGTTCCAGCCGCTTCGATTGCAAGGTCATGTTCTAGAGCATTGAGGCGCTGCTGTAGCGCTTGGATGTGACTTCTGTGCATTCCCTCGACGGACAGGGATCTGCCAAGAGGGGTTAGTGATCAAGTGTACCTCGCAACGGCTGTTTTGCGTACTCAAATGCTCGCTTGCGCAGTACCTGTCGCGAAACTTGACGAACGGAATGCGGCATGCTTGGTATTGTGTAGTGAAATTATGATGAAGTTATCTTCGCGCAACTGCTCATTCTCGATGGTCCATTTGAGTACTGCTGGTGGTTTACTCAGGTGCTCACATCAGCGTCGCAAATGGACCAAACCGGAACGACGTAAGCGGCTTTCTTTTGCAACCAATCAAACCTCAAAAAAATGCGGGTCGGTGCAGTGTAGGCGGTCAGAATGTCCTCGTAAGAAACAGCCTGTGACCCTGCAGCATCTTGTCGCGGACCTCGCAGTTTCTGCTATTTTTGCTTTGCTTGGCCTATCACCTACTGATCAACGCCGTCGATAATCTATCGAAACTATTTCGTGTCAGCCCATTGAGTGTTGTTCACAGAGGGCGCGCTCACAAATGTGCGTGCCTTCGAGAGCCGCAGACTGAGTCGCGGATCTAGTCTGAGGTGTCTTCAATACCGCAAGGAAGCCACAGCACCAAACTGCTCAAGAGATCCATCATAAAGATTCAAGATTGAAGGCTAATGCAGAAGCCCAGCGGTGAGCGGGGCACAATGGCACTAATCAGCTTCGAACAGGCGCACCCCGCTGACGCGTCGCGCCGCCCATCTACCTTGGAACACTCAGTCGTCTGATCATCTTCAAGCAGGAGCAAGCGTCATCAAAACCCCTTGCTGTCTTCCTTGAGGTTGAGAAATCATTCCAATAAAATATGTACATGCTACGAAGCGAATTTCATCCTTGTCGTGCACCTGCACATATACTCGTCAAGGCCATCCTGGGTCCTCCTCAACATCGCTACGCACCCCATCTTTAAGAGCACTTGGTGACGCTGGGAACGTTGGTGCAGCTGCCGTAAGTCGTGCCACCAGTAATTGCGACGTTCGACCAAGTCCAGCCAGTGCATGATGAGCTGCTTCCGCAGGTCACAACAACATCAAAACCGGAGCTGGAGACAGCGCCGGTGCCGGAGATGTTTTTGACAACCAAGTTGGTAATGGGGATACCGGTGCCGGCTGTGCCCTTCAGATCGCCGCCGTCGTAGTTCTGCTCGATAAGAGCACCGTACCTGGAGATCGCAGTCAGCGTTAAGACGTATGAGTGCATATAGAGCATGCTTACTTAGAGATATTCTTGAGAGTGATCGTATTGTAAGTCACCTTGTTGATCGATCCAGTGTCACCGACGGAGGCTTTGACGCGGATACCATTGACTGAATTCTGAATGATGTTGTTGGAGAAGGTGACAGTGTCGACAGTGTTATCATCGCGGCCACCGACAGAGCCGATAGATAGACCGTGACCGCCGGAGCAAAGACCATTCTGGAAAGTGATGCTCTGGAATTGCAATCAGTAGATGATCTCAAGGAGTCTCGAGATAGCACTTACGGTTCCGGAGTTGACAGCAACGCAGTCGTCCTGGTTATAGACCTTGGCGCCATCGATGATAACGTTGTTGCTGGAGCCGATGTCAAAGCCGTCAGTGTTGTGACCAAGACTGCCAGTGTCACCATCGGAGTCGTCGATGGTCATGTCGGTGACGGTCAGTCCATCGCAGCCAGCAATACTGACAGCCTGATGAGGCGTGTTCAAGATGGACAGGCCAGTGACGGTAGAGGAAGTGAGACTGTGGAGATAAAGGAACTGTGATCATCAGCATCGATCTGGTGTACAATATCAGAGAGCATTACCTTGGGCTTGACCTTGCCTTTGTCGCCCAGACCGTCCCACCAACGAGCGCCATCGGGGCTGAGGACCGCGCCAGAGGCAGCCTTGACCGTAATCTTGTTACCGCCAATATTCAGTAGAGGACCGGCCCATTCCGAATAACCCCAGGTGGTGGTCCCCTGGAAGACGACAGTGGTGTCATCGGCAAGCCCGGAGAGATCAAGCGTTGTGCCAGACGGGACAGCAACATTGTTCAAGACAATGGTGGAGCAGGCAGTCTGTGATTTGGAAGCAGATGCGGCACCAGTCGACCCTGAGAAGGTGCAAGAGGTGGCTCGCTTAACGACTCCCGCTTTGGGGGCAGGAGTGATGGCTGGAGCAGCCGGGGCCGCGATCACAGATGCGGCGAGCGATGCGGTCAACGCAAGGATAGATAAGAACTGCATTTTGAATGGGAGAGAAAGCTTGAAGATAGCAAGAAGAGGCTTGGCTGCTTGGCCAAATTGCTTGCTTTCCAACGAACCTTATGTACGACTTGGTGAGGGAGCAATCTCATTCGCCTACGCAGCTTCGGACGTGTTGTCGCAATCTACCTGGGACCAGATCTTCCAGTGCGCAAATGAGGCGGGACACCAACATCCTCCAATTATCGAGTATTGCGTTGTCCGCGTACCTCCTGAACATGCCCTAGGTTGAATGATCAAGAACACATGACTCTGGAAGCGAAGATGTGGGAACAATAATGGCAGTGCCGTAGGGTGCCGTGTTGTGGGGTATCCCATTTCCACCAATCATCAATTCTCCATGCCTGTACCAATACATATTGCGAATACGAGTCTGGGGAGAATCTGGGGACGGCCGCTAGCCGAATGGCCTCCCAGCTCGCCCCACGTGGTTTGAAGATGCGTACTCTCACTCCGCCAATTTCCAAATGTCGCGCGATCCTTACGAGGAAAGAGTAGAGCGCGGACATTATCTCCAGGTTCAGCTACTTCATTTTGAGCCTGTTATGATTCAGCGTGTTTCACAACCAGAAAACCACTGAAGTATTTACCCGAGACTGCAAGGGAGTATATACATGGTACGTCCGAAACCCAAAGCACCGCAGGTCATCATCGCGTCGCTCGCCATGCCAGGCTGCCAGTCTAAACGCCACGGTTTGCTTGGAACAGATGAAAGAAGGGGATGTGATAAGAACCTATGAGTGACTCGACTCTGCAATCGGTACGATTGTTGGAGGTGGTGCATGCAAGCGCGGCGTCGTGCTGAACTTGGGATGCAATCGAAAGCTTGCTGACCGGACAGGATGGGCGAAGTCGTCAAATTTATGCGATGTCGCAACTCTGTTAGCTGTAATACGTTCGCTTTGGCTGGACTGCCGTCCAGATAAAGCACCACTCTGTGGCGCCAATTGCAGAGGCACGTAACAAGATGTGCCTTGAGGGAACAATGAATATCTTGGATTCATTGTCAACCTGGTCGGTGTTGAGATACGACTGGAATAGCAGGAGCTCAAACTCGATGGGTCAGGACTACCCAACAGGGCAAGATACTCAAAGGGCTCCGGGACGTCCATGGTGGCCGTACTCGAAAGGCGTGCCTGTGCTGGTGGCTCGATGAGAGATGGAGCGAAGCACATCGCAGTCTGGAGACTGACCATGTCAAATACCTCATCAGAGTCGCTGTCATATATGGTTCCCACTACACTAAGCGTCCTTGCCCTGTGCGTGTCCGGGATACTTGTAGTGGTGGGCGTTATCTGAAGCGTCGAAACAGGCGATGGCAAAAAAGGGCTGATTGGACCAGGGCTTGGTATTCTTGGCGATATTATTGAGACTCTTTCAGGCTCCTTTATCAAGCTGGTGAATAATCTCGGCGACTCGAAGCGCATGTTGGCTTCGCGTTTACGCAGTCGATTTGACGACCGACCGAGTGTGTGGCTAGACCTCGGTCTCGCAGTCCAACTTCGTGTTGAGCATGATCGCCAGACATTGGCTTGCAGGCTCTTGAAAAATGGGACCATGTATGGGATGCAGGCAGTACAAATACTGGCGCATACATGCACCTGGGTACATATGGTGGCGCTCCAGAGATCAAATTCAGGGCTCCCATGCGGCGTCACCTGATACAAGTAGATTGCGCGAACGAGAGCAGCGGCGGCTACAAGCAGGCGCGGTGCGAAACAAGCTACAACAGCGACCTTCTTCGAAATACACACTCTAAGATGTGCGACTAGGTCTACAGAGAGCATGACAATGAACAGCTCTGTCGACATGTCAATTGCGCAGTACACGACCCAGAAGAATTGCTGCATGGGTCAGCAACAGCCAGCTACAATGAACGAATATGTAGCACCTACCGTATTGAAGCATCGCAAAGTCATCGACTCCCATGGCCGTGGAAGGCTGCATTGAAAGGCCACAGCAGCAATTGAAATTAAGCTCCATGTGAAGATGCAGATGCCAAAGCAGAGAACAAACAGGCGATGCGTGCGTAGCACAACAACATTGTAGAAAAGTACAACGATCGACAGCTTCGAGAAGCACAACGAGGAAATGTAAAGTAGTTCGGAGGCGTAGTAGCCTTTCATAATGGTGGCTGCTCTGTCGGCGGTCAAGAAGCCCTGTACGCCCAAACCCTTAGAGGTGAGCAATAAGGTTGTCACTGATAGACCGACCGCGAATGTCTGTCGATATTAGCTGAAGCTGCGTGAATAGTCGCTGCAGCTACCGTAGCTAGAAGAATAAACAGGTCATCCATTGCTAGTTTACGGAAGACAATGGCCTTCATGGCTTGTCGCGTGGTGAAGAACACCACGAAAATTCCAGTAAGGGCATATGTCGCTAGCTCGATGATAGTAGACGTATCTTCCTCCAGTCTTTTGATACGCGAAGCCATCTTCAAAATGGTGATTGGTGAGGGATTGACAATCAATATACTTGAGCAAACGACAAATTGTGAACGAGCGGTCTCCCTGTAAGACTTGCAATGAGAGTGCTTGACAAGAAGGAAGTCGTAAGAAGGTGGCAGCTTCAGCTAAGTTCGAGGGGAGCCATAACGGATGATCTTCCGTGCCCGCAAGACCAACGTTATCCTTAGTAACAGCCAGGCGACCGATCGTAGTAGACCGCAGCCATAGATCTCCGAAGGCGTGTCTGCGCAGGTTTGCTGTTGTTTCCTGCAGCCGGAACCGAGGTCTCAATCCTCGTGTACATCGCCGTGAACTCCCATATAGCGGATAGCCCGGGATCTAAAGTTAGAGCAGTCAGAAGCCAGCGCAAGACTGAAGTTTGGCCGAACGCTGAGGCACAGCGTCGTCTAAGCTCGAGCAGCTGGTCGAGCGACTGCGCAGCAAGTGCAAATCACAGCCTAACGGTAATGAGAAGTTGGAAATGGAACATACATTGTGCAACAGTATTGTGCTCATCGGTTCCTATCAACTAACAGTGTTCAGCCATAGCAGCCTCTTATTGGATCGCCGCTCAGAGGTTGGTGAGGTTCATTTTCGGTCCCCGATCCAGGGGCTGAGCAGACACCTTCGCCGAAGCCTCGTCATGCAATAAGGACCGCAATGTCGTCAGCAGCAGGCACACTGAACATGCTCTGCTCAATTTGCGCTTAGAATTCGAAGCGCAGTCGTAAGAGGAAGTCGCGAGAAGGTCGCGTTGATGTTCAAATACTAATTCGTCAAGCAAAGGCGCGAGGCTGGGACTACCGAGGCTACCCGTGGCCGTGCGGCCGATGAGCCAGTTCAGCCGATGAGCCACCCCAACGAGATCTCAGCGATAGAAAAATGAAGCTGTAGAGCCACATTCAAAAGCTATTATCGTGAGAAAAGTTGGTGTATTGCTATACAGAGCCTTGCGCTTCAATTGTGCTATTTATATTTGGCTGGTAACCGCGAGTTGCGGCCTCTCGCAGTGATTTTGGGTGGGGGAGACGCAGCTGGCTGTGCAGCGTCAACACGACTTCGAGCAGCCACAACACAACGACGCTTTGTTGGATTTTTTGCAGCACTGTGTGAGACTTTTCGCTTACGCTTGTTGAGTGTATCGTGAGATTTTTGAGCGATTGGAGCGTCGTGTTGCTGCTTTTTGAGCGCTCGTTCGGCAGCCAGCACTTCAGCTTGTGCTTTCTTCGCCTCGCGACGCTCCTCAGCAGCACGCTGTCGAGCGAACTTTGCCTCCTCTTGCTGCTGCTTTTTGTGAGCTGTTGCTGCCACCTTTGCCTTTCTATCGCGAGATTTTTGGAGTTGTAGCTGCGCGGCTTCATCGAGTTATGCAGCTTTGCGCGCGCGGTCGCGGGCAAGCTTCCTGGGACTGTAGAAGACAGCGCCGCCGTGCCAGTCGTCGCCGTCTTGTGTAGTCAGTGTTGTCCGCTGCGTTGGGCGCTTCTTAATGACGTTGAGCTCGTGTTGTAGCTCCTCGTTTCGAGTGCGAAGAAGCTCATTGTTGACCTGTAGCGAGTGGAGGCTCCGCGACAGCCGCTTGGCTTCAATTCTGGCCTTGTCAGCAACTGCAGCGTCAAAAATTTTGCGCTGCTCAGGTCAGCTATCGCCTTCGCCATGCTCTCCAATTTCTGCGTCTTCGTCTTGTTGTGGTGGGTGGTTATTGAAGCGTTTCAGTACAGCGTCCGCATCCATCGGCCACACGCCTGTAGCTTGAAAACTCTTCAATATGAGCTCTAAGGTCATTGTAGCGCTTCATGCTGGCCAAAAGTTGCTGTAGAAGTTGGGTTTCGTGATCCTCGTGAGGCCTTAGGTTCGTTGGAGGTAGTGGGTGAGCTTCTTAGTGTAGTGCCTTGAAAGCGGCGCAAAGAGGACAACATCAAGCAGCTGCAAGCTGTGAGTTGAATAAGGTGGAAATACCATAAGGAGGATGCGTTTGGCGTCGCAATACTCTAGAAATTCAGGCGTGAGGTGGCTGCTGTGGCCGTCAAGGATCAGAAGCCGCCATTAACGGCGAGCTTTAGCTGCTGTATAGCGATCGAACACCTGCTGAAGCCAGGCAAGCCCTAAGTCATTGTTTAACCATCCTGTTGCTAAGTAGGAGATAAAAATCTAGTATTGTTCAGCAATAAGGTCGTCTACCTAGGTTAATTAAATCCTAGAGGTGCCCTGGTAGATAAGAGCGGGCAGTAATGCCTCTCCAGAAGCGCATACGCAAGCCAGCAGCGTTACCTATTCTCTGTTGCTATCTCTAAGCGCTGCAGTGCGCTCTTTTAACTCCCAAATTGCCTTAGAGACTATCCTTTTAGTGTGACTGTTGATGCTGACAAAGAAGCCTTTCTCATCTATATTGTACGTGTTGCGCTCGTCAACGCTGTGCTCACGCATCTTGGAGTGCAATAGGTTGAAGTACAACTCATACTTGCGCTTGCTGTCAGCTAAAAAGCGCTCACGATCCATCCCGGTGGTCCATTTGGTGGTAAGCTTGTTGGCGTGGCGATGCAGAAACCAAGTAATCCAGCTCTCAGAGACCTCCCACTTCGTAACCGCAGAGGCGAAATTTTGCAGCATGCTTCTAGTGGGTGGCAAGCCGTCTCTTGTGCATCTTTCTATGTATTTGACAAGTACCTCCTCCTGTTGTGGGCTGAGTAACTGTCGCTGGCGCGCTTCTTCTGCATTTGAGCGTGTATAACAGTTGTGCCGCCGCGACAGCGTTGTTCGGTCAACTCCAAACATTTTTGCGACTTGGCGGTATGACAAGTTATCTCCAGCTTTATGCAATTCTAAATATTCAATCGCTTCTTGAATTGGATCCATGGTGGTGGAGTTATGACGCGTTGAAGTTGTGGGTATCTCAATGTTGTGATGTTCTGGGTGGCTCATCGGCTGAACTGGCTCATCGGCCGTACGGCCATGGGTACCTACGGAAGACGGTGTGCGCACGTCCCGCCCCACCTCACTTCGGAACCTGTACAGCTCTGTTCACGACTCAACACAAAATCCTGCTCAACATCCAAAAAGCGGATGCAACGCCTCCGCAATTCCTCTTGAAAAAGCTACTTGGACGTTCTTTTCGTCACCATGCACTCCATCCGCAGTTTGTGTCTTTTTGGCTCCATCGTGGGGGCTTCAGTGTCCGCGGAGGAGACGTCAACCGCAGACCAATCAGCACCATCGACACCTCAATGCGGTTCATCGACTTTCCTGAAAGGACTGCAGGATTGTGTCGCAGGGTCAGACCTTGCGGTGCTTTCCGTCACAGCGACACCACAGCACAACTTCACGAGTAACAGAGGCGGACCCTTGCAGCCAGCTCTAAGCGGTTTGAGCTTCTGCCAAGTCAGGACAAACATCTCCCATCGAGGCACAAACGACAAAGTCCTGATCGAGGCATGGCTTCCCATCAGCCACGACGATTGGAACGGACGATTTCAGGCCACTGGAGGTGCCGGTTTTGAGACCGGTATGTTCGGTAGCCATCTTGGGCAGGCTGTTCAAGATGGCTGGGCCGCTGTGTCAACCGACGGAGGGTCTGGCAGTGATAACTTGAGACGAATTAGGGACGGAAGTTGGATCCTGAAGAACACCACGGACGGTACACTGGACTGGAACCTGTTGCATAACTTTGCTTCTCGTAGCCTTGTCGATCAGATCAACATCGGCAAGGTGATTACCGAACTATACTTTGGCCGAGCTCCACATCACTCATACTGGAACGGATGTTCCACCGGGGGTAGGCAAGGCTACATGATCGCACAGAAACATCCGCATCTCCTGGATGGTATTCTGGCAAACGCACCTGCACTCAACTTCATCAACTTAGTCACTGGCGAATTTTGGTCTCAGCTAGTGATGAAACAGCAAGAGACATTCATGTCCAACTGCGAATTCGAGTACTTCAGACAAAGGGCTATCGAACAGTGTGACATGCTGGATGGTGTGCGCGATGGCATACTTGAAGACCCGGAAGCGTGCAAATTTGATCCATTTGCTGCTGTTGGCGAAGAGATAGAGTGTGACGGGAAACACGTCGACATCACGCTGGGGATGGCGACAGTTGTCGAGCATATCCTCAAGGGACCAAAGCAGGTAACATGGGGTCCAATATTCCACGGGATCAGCCCTGGGATTCGATTTGAAGACCTAGCGAACATCGACATCGCTGGTGATGGCATAAGATCACAGAAACCGTTTGGCATATGCGAGAGCTGGATGAAGAACGTCGTACTCAGAGACCCCTCTGCCAGATTAGATCATCTGGACATAACCTCGTATTTCGGTCACTGGGCGCAAGCCAACTACGAACTGGGTGGTCTACTCAACACTGCTGATCCTGACTTGACGCTGCTGAAGGCCTCAGGAGCCAAGCTGCTGACATGGCACGGCATCGATGACACTATCATCCCCTATCAAAACACCATCGATTACCGGAAGAGGGTCGAGGGTGTCATGGGCGGTGCGCATGAAGTCGATCAATTTTACCGATTGTTCCTCGCGCCTGGTGTTGAGCACTGCGGTGGTGGCATCGGGCCTGCCCCTTCTTCTGCTTTGTCGATGCTAGTCGATTGGGTTGAGAAAGGCGAAGCGCCGGAGGTACTTGGAGCCGAGACAAAAGATGTCAGAGGCGAGGCGGTCACCAGAGATTTATGCGCTTATCCTGGCAAGTTGAAGTATATGGGGCTTGGAGACGCGAAGAGAGCATCAAGCTGGACCTGCGTTGGTGGAACGGAGAATCCGAAGACTGTGCTCCAGAATCAAGCCAGTGAGCGCATAGGCAACCTCTTGGGTCGTCTAACAGGTCGTTTCGAGGGGTTGGGGCTTGGACTCAACATCGGCTGAACGGTAGCTGACGGCGCAAAATCGCCACTGCGTACAGCTTACTGTCTCAAACAAATCAGCTCATAACCAACATGAGTTGTGCCCAACGCAATGTTCGGCACCCGTCATCATCTTAGCCTTTCGGCCCTTACTTTGTGCTGCTGGTCCGTCGTGCTCCTTACCGCTCATCCTTGCCAACACCGCACTCTCCTTTTGAACATCGCCATGATTCCTCCCGACAACCGGGTAGACTGCAATAATGACCGGCAATGACTTCGGCGGTGTTGGTGAGCCAGGGGCTATGAAACACTGCGCTAGTATTTGGCGGTGTTTTAAGATCGTCGGTCCGCACGGTCATTCCCGAAATCCGACCGTCTCATCCAATTGTGCCATGTGGGTCGGATGAGTCTCCTTCCAGACACCTTGCTGTCTTTAACACGCGGTTCTTAACATGCCTTTTGAAGATTTATACATCGTCAGACCGCCTGGTCGTCGTAATGGAGGATATGCGCCATATCCATACGTCAACAGCTGAACAGGCCATGCTTACGACGCATCGCACACGCAGAGCCTTCCTCATGCAGATCATGACCTCTCAAACCATACAAACGCCACAGCTCCTCTGGGACGATTGTATCCGTGAAACGTCAGAAGCGGCTGTGCAGATCTGGCCCGATGCTTTCACATGCAACGTGCGCTCTGTCTCCACTCGCAACTTTATTCTTGTCCGAGCACAACGCGTGAAAGCTTGAGTGAGCTTGACTCTCAGCACAAAACACCGCATTGGACAAGAAAATGACGAAGCTCGTGGGTCAGACATCTCCAGTCACGAGACCCACACGTTGGGCGAATTGACAACACATGGTACGTCTTGGTACACAAATAAACCATGGCTCGTGTTTAAGGTATATGTATAGGGATGTGCACTGGGTCGCAAGGCAGGCAGTTCAACTCCGCTAATAACGCGACCTTGCTGGACGAGGTTTCCCGACCACAGCCAGTCAGCCCTGCACCAGGTTCTCCTTGCTTTGTTTGTTCAGACGACAATAATTCTAATCCACGACTCACGACATGAACGCCTCAGCAACAATCCGTGCATCCTATGTGCGTGCCACTAGGATGAGCATGATGCCACCACCGCTCCCAAGACCCGGCTCGGTCACAAACAATGTTGCCGACCTCGAATCACGACCTGCGAACGGCGAGAAACTGAAAGACTTCGTACCCATCAACCACCTCGCGCACCGCGAGAAGTGCGACCTCGAGCGCAACAAGATTTACTTCTACGACGAGCCATACTCTCCATCATACATGGAATGGGGAGAAAGTGGATCGTTCGGCATACGTATACGTAAGATGTGCACCATCTTTCCATACCGTGACCCCATCTGGCTAGTTGCCGTCGTCTTTGCAGCCGGCAGTCTCGATCTTGTCATCAATGCGTTCTTCGACCTCGTTCCGCAGCTGGATGAGAAGCTGCAGTTTAAGACCAATGAAAGTGTCGCGATCCCGACTACGGTCCTCATCGGCTCGGTCTTCTTCTTTGCCGCAGGCATCTTCGACACCTTCGGAGCTTTGAACGCAGACCGCGGAACCCTCGACACCAACAAAGAGACGCGCAAAGTCACGTACCGCCCAGCTCTTGTAGGGTCTCCGGAGTTCAAGTGGATCCCTTCGTGGGTCAAACTGTGGGATCTGACTAGGACGAACCTGGCTTTTCAAGCTGGTTTGATCGTGCTCTTTGGCGGTGTGATCTTCATGTTCGCTGGCATTGTCGACTTTCCGGAGCTCATCCCAGAGAAAGCACCGCTGTTTGCGACGATTGTGTTCGGACCCCAGGTTCTTCATGGCGCTTTATTCTTGGTAGCAAATGCGATGCTGGCTATCTCAGAGCAGGAAAGGTGGTACAAACCGAAGTGGTCGGATGCGGACTGGCAGGGTGCTTTCCTCAACACCTTGGGTGGATTTGGTTTCATGGTGGCGGGACTGTTCTTATTTGGCGATCACAAGCTTGCGGCAGCAGTGGCGGCATTACTCGGGAGTTGGGCTTTCCTGATTGGGAGTGTGATACGGTGGTATGTTGTAATGGAGATCTTCTAGATTGCTTGGGTATTTAAATGTAGCAGATACCATCTCAATCCGATCGTACCTCCCACTTCGTATCTATTGTGATGCTGCCAGGCTCCATCATGGAGAAAGAACGCTCACTGCACCGACCTGACATAGCAGAGACATTAACGTGGTGATCTATCTTCAATGATTGCAGCTGTATCGCTGACGAGTCATCGTTCAAGGTGTCAAAATGACAGCCATCGCCCATTTTGCCTCTGTGTGAGGTAAAACCACTGTCTTCCCTGCTGCCACAATACCGCGAGGTGCTACACCCAGGAGTGCGATATTTGTAGAGCGGTCGCAGAAGTGGAATGCATGCCAACGCGATTGCCACAGCTGGCTCGAGACCTTACAGCGCGGTTGCGAGTACACCGCTTTGCTACATGCCTTGGTGTCATGGGTCAGAGGTGGTTTTGCCACATGCCCGGCCTGTCACGGGTCAGAGGTGGCTTCGCCACATGCCCAGCCTGACATTTACCTAATTTGTTACCAGGCATCATAATGCGCTCACTCTATGATGGACCTCTGCTATAGCCTCTAAACGTCACACTGCTAATTCTTATAGTAAGTACAGCTTATACTTTAACATGCTAGGGCTTAAAATAGCTAAGAAGAACGTACAGCTAGAGCAAATGCACAATATGAATGAGAAAGACTTCTTGATTGGAAGGATAGGCAGGCAAAAATGAGTCTTTAGCAGGACAAGCTGGGGCAACAAGCGCTTCCGCCAGGCTCTGGAGGATGGCAACAGAGAATGGGTTACGCTTATAGCGTGCGTGAGCGCTTCTAGAATTGCTCTTCATCCAGGCCTAATCATGGCAAGTGACAGCGGCAACGTCCAGGACGCATAGGTGCGAGATATTAAGCAATCTAAGCATCGCGTCTTTGTCACAGTCACGCAGAGCAGTTAGAGCAACAACAAAGCTGGCCTTAGATGGCTGCAACAGATCTTTAACAAAGAAACAAAGGCCTCCACATATTAAAGGTGGAGGTTACTTATTATTAACAGCTTTAGCAGCTATATAAGCTGCTTGTTTCTAATCTATTGCCATTAATACAAGATACTTGTAGCCATCTTTCCTCCCCACAGTACTTATACGCTCTAGCCAGCTGACGTTGTCCTCTTTAAGCCGCTATCAACTGCGTACTTACAGCAGTTAACAAGGCAGATTTAGCGCTCTAAGGGCTTGTTACTAGTGAAGAAAGGCAGCTTATTCTTATTGTTTTGGCCTGCTTAGCTGCAATCATTCACTAAAGACAACATACTTAAAGCCTTTAACACAACAGGCCTTCACCTGCTTAATTACAATAAAGTACTTAAGTGCTTCCCTAAAGGAGCTGCTGATCTGTCAGCTCCTCTGCCGCCTCTGTTAGGTACAACAGCACGTAGTTTAATGAGCGAATTAGACTGTTGTGGCAGATAAAAGCTTAGAGGAGGTGCGCGCCCTCTACCAAAAGGTCCACACACTTGTAATTGATAATGAGCTACTTCGCAACAAGAATGACAGGCTTAGTAAGTCTCTTACAATTAAGAAGAAGCAGGATAAGAAGAGTAAAGCTCTTAATCTAGTCAAGCCAGCGTTAGATGACTAGGGAGGAGCTTGCTAGTGGTCACCTTGATTGTTTAAGGAAGCCCGCCACAGAGAGCGGATTCTGAAGGAGACTGCGCATGCAGAGGAGCTTGAAAAGGCCTCAGTGAAGGAGCTCAAGGCTTCCAATAAGCTACATAACAATAAGATCAAAGAATAGAAGCGCAAGGTGGCTGCTGCAGCGAAGGTTGTTTGTGACAGAGAGCGCGCCAAAGAGCGTGCAGCAATCGACGCTTGCAAACTGCAAAGGGAGAAGGATAAAGAAGCTTGCAACGCTTAAAAAGCCTCCTAATTGCCTAAAAAAGGCAAGCGCAAAGCTTTAATTACTCCTAGGACGCCTGCAGCTCAAAAGCGTTGTGTTGTGGCGCCTTGTTGTGGTGCTGTTGCTCTAAGTCCTCCTCCGCCAGCTCGCACCTACACCACCCACAGTGGCCGCACTGCTACTCAAAATTATTAATCCCTTAACGTACCTCACGGGCGAGTGGCCGGCCCGGGCGAGTGACCGGATTTTGCTAAGACCACACTAAACTTCAACTTCTCTTGCATATTATAGCAAGTTACTGCAAGTTACTGTAACTTACAGTATACAGCACTAATCTATAGTATCTTGCACATCTTTTATACACGTTCGCGCGTTGTGCCCTGCCTTACTACACCTGCTATAGTGTAGTAGTCTGGCCAAAGGCCAATAAAGGATATCTACTTCCTAACAACTTTTGCTAAAAAACATGCACAAGTTAACTAGACGTCTAGTTAACTGCGTAGATAATATATATCTAGCTTAAGCCAAGCCGGCTAAGCTAATGTAACCGGCTAGCTCTAGCTCTTCTTTAGCTTTAGAGTCTAGACCGTTACACTAAGGTATAGGCCTAAAGCACAAGAAAAATTCTACCTTCTTGCTAAGTTAATATCTACTTGCGTTGTTGTTGTATATCATGTCGTATAGAAAAGTTGCAGTGCCAAGAAAAAGTGTCCGGCTTGGTGGTGTGTCTGGCTCGGTGGTGCTTTACGTTATAGTAAGTACTAATAGTGTGCGTCTTTGTATGCCTATTAAAGTGCTTTAACTAGTTAAACCTAAGCCTGTTAGTAGTCTAGCTATTTTTTAGAGATGCTAATAACCTAGTCTTAAGGCAGGGTATTATCCTTATACTAGTTAGACAGGTGTTAGCAGGCTTTAAAGATGATGTAGGCTAGAATAGCCTATCCTGTAGCATTAATGCCCTTAATAACTATTACCCACTCCTAGTTGCCTAGCTATATCTACTTTGTTTGTCCTAGCTTCTCTGCATCTATAACAACTACTCTAGTGCTTATCTAGCCTATTATAAAGCCTGTCTTATTAAAGTTGTACGTATTATTGTCTAGGATACTATACTTAGCTTTAACATTAGATACAAGGGTAAACTAGCCCTGTATAAGCTTAGAATCCTTATAGAGGGCTCACTTGTAGTTGTACTTGCAATTAAAAACTATTTTAAGCTCCTCCTAACGCGAAAATCTATTCCTCCTAGTCTACAGGCTTCTTAATTATAACTATTGTGCTTGTAATTAGTCTATCTAGCTTAGTAGTAGCCATCCTAAATTAGGCTCTATTGGCTATTAGATGTTGACTCTTGTAAGGGACAGTGCGCTCAAGGCTCTTAGAAAAGTGAGGTAGTAGGACAATGACGTAGCTCTGTTGACAGCAGTCAACAGCTTGTTAGCATGCAGTAGCTAATACAGCGTGTATAGTTGACAGCTAGACTCATAACTGTAACTGCGTGAGCAGTGTCGGTCGGAGACTGTGATCAACGGGTGTATTACTATCTGTTGTTGTGTTGTGTGATGTTGTGTTGTTCAAGCTCTCAGCTCTCAGGTAAGTGCACTTGCCCACCGGGCAGTGCCTGCTACAATAAAACATCATGTGATCTGAGCCACGTGGTTATAAAGTTCTTGCCACCTAGCCTGAAGGCAGTGGTAACTTCTCGACGTCGCCTCCCGCAACTCGACCACGCCTATCGATCCCAACAGCTACTGCGATTAGAACCACTAAAAGCGCCTGCTTCTCTGATGAACACAACATAATGCGCAGATTTGATCCTGAGGATTGTTTGTCCAAGCTCAATTATCACCGAATTCATCGGGGAATGAGCGCCTCTGAAACCGAAAAGCGACCGCACCTCCCACCACGCGAGGTGGAAAGCTGCTGTCTCAGTCTATGCCTGGCATCTCAAGAGCGTGCATCCTGAAGAGCGATTTTCTCACTCGGTTCAAGAGCGTCCAAGACTACGAACAATGCCGCGAGGCAGAGGCAAAGGCTTAGGACCTGCATTTGAGCGACGGCCAGACCGCCCACAGCATTATTGACTACAAAGTTGACTTGTTGGCAACCACGACGATCAAGGCGTGGTAAGTTGGTAATCTACAAGGAGAAGAATGATGGATGCTCGGTTGAGAAAGAGACGGACGTCAAAAGCGTGCCGGAAGGAGGTGAATTGCAGAACAGATCCCAGTGAAGGTTACCACCACGCGTCGCACATGATGTTAACACGGTAAAATGCCCCCTTACTCAAACTCTGGATACTAACTGGCCTTCCATAGGCAAAGCGAAATGCAATAAAGATGAGGTGTGTTTTTCGACGGGGCGGGGTACGCGGTGGGACTTCAACTCTCGAACTCTTTTTCAACTATACTCGACCCGAAGCTACGATGATGTCGTGCAGAGGACGGTGAGAGCTGCCAGTCGTGTCAGCTAATTCGTTTTAGTGGTTTAGCTCCATCTTTTTCGGCCTTCGGGCCTTTGCTTTATCTCGTTCCCTTTACCGTATCGCATTCTACGTTGAGCACCCTTAGGCTGTAAGTACTCTATTGCAATGCAAAGTACGTCAATCATAACAGCGAACCCTTCGTATCGTCACGTTGGAGAGCCCCGGAGGATCTGATACCTGGGGCTGCTTGGGCTATGCCTTTTATAGCCCTCCGCCGATCTAGCTACTACGTCTTAGTCAACCCTATTTCCACACTGCGTCCGCGTCCGGCATAACACCGAATGTAAGTATTCTCTGAGGAGCTCTCATTGGCCGTCAGCGTATACGAGACCACGTGGATGGATAACGACAAGTTCGCCTCCATGCCATGCCATGTCCGAAATCCAGGTTCGTCCTTGGTTCCTGCGTGCCACATGCGAGTATCACACGTGTGCCGTATGATTGGACTCTTGTTATCAGGTACAGAACGCATTTTCCTGAAAGAGGAATGTGCGGTGGTGGGCCAAGGCACTTACGCTGCACGCCCAGCTTTTCACTTGGCAAGAGCGGCGGAGGTCTCCATCGCATCTTCGACGACATAAGAAGAAGGGTCGGGAACCAAGATCGTTCCCAGTGTCATCGCCTTTTGCACAGCATCGTCGATCGAAATTCGGAGTGCAAATATGAAGTTCTCCACAGCATCTGGCGTAGTTGCTCTTTCGGCGTTGGCTGTTGGCCAAGCCGCCGCTGAGGATGTGTTGTACAGCAGGCACCTCGCAAAGCGTCAACTCAGTGCTGAGGGGAACTACAACATCAGTTAGTCCCTCCGATAAGTGAGCGAGAACCCAAACTAACAAAAGCTAGCGTTCTTTCACGTCAACGATGTCCACGCCCATCTGGATGAGTTCTCATCGTCAGGTACTGACTGCACTCGGCCCGAGCGAGGCTGCTACGGTGGTTATGCTCGTATCAAGACCGTAGTTGAGGAGCAGCGACCCAACTACAACAACAGTCTCTGGTTGAACGCTGGTGATGAGTTTCAAGGTACTCTCTTCTACTCTTTCTACGGCGGCGAGAAGATCGCCGAGACGTTGAACCAGATGAATTTCTCGGCCATGACTCTTGGCAACCACGAGGTACGAACCAATTATCGAAGCTCTGCGAAGATCGATGCTGATCCCAAACAGTTTGATGGAGGTGACGAAGAGCTCGGGCAGTTCTTAGTCAATTTGACCTTCCCTGTCATTTCTGCGAACATCCAGTCGCAGAATGAAAAGGTCAACAAGACTATTAAGCCATACCACATTTTCCAGGAGCATGATTTGGCTCTCATTGGAGTGACCACCGATGAGACGCCAGGTATTTCGAATCCAGACGAGACGACTGTCTTTTCTGACGTTGTTGAGGCCGTTCAGGGCGCTATTGATGAGATCAAGTCCACTACCAACATCACCAGGATTGCTGCTATCACCCACATTGGCTACGAAAAGGACCAGGAGCTTGCTAAGGCTACCAAGGGTCTTCAATTGATCATGGGTGGCCATAGCCATACACTTCTTGGCGATATGGAGGATGCTGAGGGCAAGTATCCTACCATCGTCGATAATGCTGATGGCGAAGAGGTCTTCGTCGTTACTGCCTACCGCTGGGGCGAGTACATTGGTGATATTGAGGTCACATACAATACTCAGGGCAAGATCGTCGCGTACCACGGAGCTCCCATCCATATCACCAACACCACCAAGCAGGACGAGGGCCTCCAGGCTCAAATCGAGTCATGGCGCGGCCCTTTCGAGGAGTTCGCTGCCGAAGTCCTCGGTACCAGCGAGGTCGAGCTCGACCAGACTACCTGTCGCCGTCAGGAGTGCCTGCTCGGTGACTTCATGGCTGATGCTATGCTCACTTATCGCAAGAACAACACAGACGATGTTGATTTTGCCATCATCAATGCTGGTGGTATCCGTGCCACCATTGACCAGGGCAATATCACCCGCGGCGAGGTCCTTACTTCTTTCCCCTTCGGCAACGCCATTGTCCAAATCGAAGTCGACGGAAAGTACCTCTGGGAGGTTCTCGAGGGCATCATAACCGGTGTCAATATTGCCAATGGCAAGGATGTCACCTCATTCTTCCAGGTCTCCACCGGTATCAAGGTCGAATACAACCCTGAGAACAAAAACGGCAGCAAGCTTGTTGCTGTCACGATTGGCGACCTCCCTCTTGACAACAGCACCAAGTACCAGGTCGTCACCCTTGACTTCATTGCTGGCGGTGGTGACAACTTCTTCACTCCGACTACCGAATTCGTCGCCCTTGACACCCAGGATGAGGTCCTCACTCAGTACATTCAGGCGCAGTCCCCTGTAAATATCCAGCTCGACCAGCGTATTGAGGTTGTCGATCGCCAGCGCAACGCGACAGGTGGAGGCAACGGAACTGCCAGCGAGTCTACCCCTTCCGGCACTGGCAGCTCATCCCCTGAATCTACCGGTGCTGCTGCGCACGTTGCTTCTGGATTCGTTAGCGCTGGCATCTTCGCCACACTTGCCGGTCTTCTGATGCTCTAGACGAGCCACAACGATGATGTAATACAAAAGTCCCGGGTCGTTTAGCGATGCATATATCAATCAATATCATCTCTCAATACTTCATTAGGTGACCAGGTCCCGTGCTTGTCTGGAACGACTGTTGGAATGTTTGTGGCTTGTAGGTGATTGTTGATTTCGCCGTGTATCGAACTTATAGTTTGCTCGCGGATGAGCAATGCCCAGTCTCCGCATTTAAGGATGTTGATGGTTTTCAAATGTTTTGCTCATGATATCCATCCGGCAGAGTCTATAAATCCTCTACTTTGTAAGCGTCGGACATGTGAGTGTCACAACTTTTCAATCTTTGCTTGCATTCGCTGATCTTCATCAGTGCACCCTTCCACACTGCTCTTATATATGGAAATACCAATCTCATCGCTGATCAAATGCGGCATATACGACTCCTTGTCTGCGCAGGGCGCTCTCTCATTGGTCAGCTTGTTCGGCTTTGCTCCCGCTCCGGCGCGCTGGAGAGATTCTGTCGCGGCAGACGTAGCCGCTGTATGTATCGATGGAAAACTGCGCTGAGTTGCTTACTAGCTAGGAGGCGACCGTATATGCATGCCCTGAGACGGGCTAGTCCAAGGTAGTCAACAGAGGTGATGATCAAGGACTATAGGACCGACTTGCACCGCAACAGATTCGTCCTCTCCCATAACACCCAATCGACAGTTCACATCATCAACTCGTCACTACTGCAGCACGTGCGACTCGCAGATCTTCCATCTCCACTCGAAACTTGGCATCTGATTGACTTAATCCAGCCGCTTGTGGCACCCCTACAAGTATGCACACTGTCTACACTTCCGGGGGACCTGTCGACGAGGATCGCACCAAGTTACAGCTTCGTCCATGCCCCTACTGGAAACATCTCAGCAGGAACCCTGATTCGATTGCTCCCTATACGATTACTAAACACATACATGTAACACAAAATGCTACATATCATCAAAGCGAACTACTCGGACGGCACAGCACAACGCATCAGGATCCGAGATGCCTTTGGCATAGATGAGTACGTCTGCATTATCACCAACCTATACAAGAAGAGACTGGCCGCCTTCATGGAAGGCAACAACCCACGCACGTTTCAAATTCACCAAGCAAGGGAGGTTATCCATCAGCTGTTGGAAATCTTAGAACAGGCGCACAGTCTCGGCACAGTACACACGGATCTAAAGCCAGAAAACATGCTTCTCAAAAGCGATGCATAGAGATGGCGCAAGGATAGAGACTATCGGTCAAAGAGCAAAGACACATCAACAGCAAAGCGAAAAGTTCTAAACAACACCTGCATACGTCTGATCGACTTCAGATCATCTGTATTCTCCTCTGAGGACAAAAGCAAGATTTTCACCACTCGTCCGTATTGTAGCCCTGAAGTCGTTCAGCGGCAGCCGTGGTCATTTCTAACCGACCTATAGAACGTTGGCTGCATCATGTTTACGTTGTACACAGAGATCAAACTCTGCGATGTTGTAGACAACAAGGACAATTTGTCGCTTATACGCAGCATCTCAGATCCTACCAAGGTTTCTGTCACGGTTTTGGAGTCTTTTCTCTTGTACCACGTATCACAGTTTCATATCTCTACTGCTGTACAACGTAGTACACCCTGCCCTTTCCTTTTACACCTCACCGCTATTCCCCTATAACAACAGTCCATAGCTACATACAATACAACCTCAGTTCAATCCTTCAATTCCTTCTGCATATGCGCTGTTCCTACACCGCGACAGTTTCTGAGGACGCAGCTTCCGCGGAGGTGATCTTAGATATCTTCTTATGTCAAAACTAACATATTTAGACATTGTAGAGTATCTACTATGCTTAGATCTGGTGCTCCTGTGAAACCCTTGCCTGCGCATGAAGCTGACCTGCTGGTACGTCATAACGGGGTCTGGACTTATACACTTCTGACCTGCGCTACAGGAAGTATCTTTGGTCCCCGTCCCTATTCAGCCCCTTTGTATATATCTCCTTAGATCCATACTCACTAAGGAGCCTGAGAACCGGATTTCTGCAAGAGATGCGCTTCAACATGACTGATTTTTGGCTACAAATTGATCAGAACTCCCAAGCCAGGTGGCTAAGACGAGTGATCTCCAGAGCTGCATCAGCTCCGAAAGTAGAGGCTTTTCACGTATTGGACTTGTGCGGGAGAGCGATGGAATTTAATGAGCGTTGCGACTCTATACATTGTTGCTATTAAACAACATGAGTCTGCCCTGGACAGTATGGGCTTAGCACACAATACTTAAATTCATTCTGCATTGTCGGACTTCCGCATTGCTGAATGCAGCTATCAAATCAGAATCCTCCTCTTGATATGCCGGCATTTTGACTCCTCGTTGGAAGTGTTCAGATGAAGTGATTTTAATCGTTAGAAGTCGACAAGGCCTTGTGTGGTAATAGTACAGCTGAGGTAAGGTAGATGCTGAAGAATTGATTCTACGTGTCAAACCAATTGCGATAACAAAGCCAGTTCAGGGTGGATCGAAGCTGTTGCGGTGCAAGTCGGTCCGACAGGCCTTGATCGTCACCTCTGTTGGCTACCTTGGACTAGCACGTCTCAGAGCATGTATATATGGTCGCCTCCTAGCTAGCAAGCAACTCAGCGCAGTTTCCATCGACTATACAGCGGCTACGTCTGCCGTAACTGAAGCAAAAGATGAAGCGGCGTGTAGGTATTATGGTGGCGTGACGTGGCGAAGACAGTTTGCGAGGTGGGATGGCAATGGCTTGGATCGTAGGCTGGAGACTCGGTGGACAAGAGTGCTTGAAAGGCCAATGCGGACTTTGCAATGACATGGCTTAGATCATGCGGTTGGGATGATACGGCCTAGCTTGTGCTCTCGAGATTTGTTGAGACGGAATGCTAATTTACAATATGAACTTCTTCAGCAAATTCGCAAGCCGCTCGGGCTGCTCGAGGGCCAGACTATGACCGCACTTTTCGAAAATCTCAGAAATGACGACGTTATTTGCTGTACCTCGCATCTGTTCTTCAACGAGCGGGCCGAAGAACCTGAACAATGTCAGCAAGATCCTTGCCATGGATCGTGGAAACCTACTCGGGTGCGCCAACAGTCATGACCTTGCAGTCCAGCTTCCCCTCATCCATAATCTCCTGCTCAACATCTACATTCGCCCAATGTGCACGATATGTTTCCAATATCCCCCTCAGCCCACCCGGACTCTGCGAGCACCGTATCCACTCATCAACAGCCTCTTGATCTAGTGCACTCGGATTGTAGCACTCCGCCTTCATGAAGTACGTCCAAAATTCCCTCTCCTTCCCTGTAATCAGCATCTCAGCCATATGCGGCATCCACAAGAACGGGATATGCCAGTTCCAAACACCGGTTTGGTTGTACTGTGCCTCGATATTCTCGCGCGTGAAGAACGATTGCTCCGTCAGTTGCTTTGAGAGCATCATCTCACAGAAACTCAGGTGCGTGACGCGGTCCCGGTGCAGTCCGGCGGTGCAGAAGCCAAAGGTCGCGCCGCGGTCTTCGCAGTGGATGGAGAATTGCTTGTAACCCAGCTGATCCATGAGTTCCACCATATCCTGGGCGTTGATACGGCCATCGTAGCCATCGCTGGCAGGGGGTTTGTCTGTGGCGCCGAAGCCACGCAAATCAGGGGCGATAACGCTGAAGTGTGGAGTCAGGTAGGGTAGGATACGGTACCAGTAGTAGTGATTCTTTGGTGTGCCATGGAGGAGGACAAGGGGCGGTCCTGAGCCGGCTGTGATGTAGTGCATTCGAATGTTATTGACGCGTGCCATGTGGTGGGCGGCAGGCTTGCCATCGTGGTCAAATAGTTCTGGCATCTTGAAAGTGTCCTAGCTTTGTTCAGAAATCTCGTCTTTTTTGGTGACTATTGGATTGTGTGCGTGAATAGCGAAGTTCTGTCCGATGAGTACAAGTGTTTTCTCCATGTGCTGGAGTATGAAGTTCGGCTACGAGTATGTAAGGCTACCCCACAGTTCAGGCAACGTCATCGTTGTTGTCTGGGTGTGAAGCCGCTTCCGTGTTTCCGCGAGACCGTCAGAGTAAGGACCGCCCAAGTGAGTCGTGCTACCATTGGCGAGTGAAGTTGCGCTGCAACACCACTTTTGCGACAAGGACAATGGCGTTTGAAGATGTTGTTCATTCGAGAAGCGGAAGTGGTCTTGTAACAATGGTCCTGGGCTGTCGTTCAGTACTTTCAGTTGTGCTGTTCCGAGCTCTTCAGGAGGACAAAGGAGGGATGAAGTCGGCTATATGGGACCTACGCGCTAGTAACATAACACCCTTGCCATGCACAGCAGTGTCAGACCCATTTGATAGACGCGAGAATGCATCGATTTATGACTAGAAAGTGAAGCTCGAGGCTCGCAAAGGATCGTGTTGGAGTTTGGGAAGATGTAACGGTTAAGAGGAGAAGCAGATCACGTGTTGTTGGCGATGGGCTGGTGCTTACCTCAGCTGCATCACAAACACGTCATGCAAAACAGACCCCGCAGCCAGCCATCGACAAGCCAGACACAAGAGAACAACACAATACAGTCGCTTTACATTTTTGCACTTGATACCGCAACAGAAAAAGCTTGAAGCTGGCAGGAGTGCCGACGCGTCGGCTCGCCTGATTTAGCGTAACGATCACGTCATCTCAATCTTGTCCCAAGCACACCATCACAAAGTTTTACACCCTTCTTACAACGTACTGCTCTTCATCATTCGCTTCTATGTATTTCTATGATTGTGCGTAGAGTCATGATCAACCTCCCACCAGGCACAGTGACCGCCTCAGATGTGGATCCACCTGCCCATCCAGGTGTCAACAATCTGCTTGGCCTCATCTACCAGGCCCATGTCCAGCAACAGCTGCGATGTACCGCGGACCGCTGAGTCGAGGGCGCTGAAAATCCAAGCGTGAGTGTACGATGTGTGCTCGCCGACGAAAATTGTTGACATCTCGGTCTTGTAGTACGCTGGGAGGTATAGCTCTTGCTGGCCGACTGTAGGCGCTGCCCACGCACCTGCCTGGTGCTCGTCGACTTCCCAGCACTGGCGGTCATACGTACCGGTGAACTGCTCGGTCGCGACGTCGCCGTGAACCTGAACCATTGCGCGCTGCACGTAAGCCACGTGGTCTTGAGTGCTGAGCGCTGCAAGAGAACGAGCCATGGTGCCGGACGTGTAGGAGCCAAGGATGACACCGGGTCCAGTGGAGTTGATCTTGTACGCGGGGTAGCATACGGAGCCAATGCCTGGGATATCGACCGCACCGCAACCGCCGATGATGGGTGGCGAGAGCTTCTCCCAGAAACGAGTCTTATAGTGCAGAGAAACCTTGCAAGATTGCTGGTAGTTCATGGTCGAGATGGCACGCGACAGCAGGGAAGAGTACGTTGGAAGCTCCCAAAGCCTAACCTTGGAGAACGGAACACCGACAACCACGTAGTCGTATTCCTTGCTCTCAGGCTCCATCGCGAATGGATCGTTGCGCCACTGGACGGCAACCCTGCCGGTGGCGTTGTTGTACTTCAATCCGGTGACTTTGCGGCCGAGAGTCAGGCGGTCTTGGACATGAGGGTAGATGGCCTTGGGTAAAGACTCCAAGCCCTTATCGATCGTTCGCCATGTTGTCGCACCGAAGTATGCTGTGTCATATTCCCACATTGGGCTGTTGTCAGCACCTGCGATGAAGTCCACCTCATCTGCGGTCAGGTTAAGGGCGTATCTGAGGTATGACTGCTCCGACCAGTGGAAAAGACCCTTCTCTACAGCTGCCTTATGGGCCTGGTAGACGTTCGTTGAAATGCTCTTCACGACCTCGGTTGTAATGCCCTCAAAATCGTCGAGCGCTTCTTCAGCCTTTTCATCGGCTTCTGGGTCAGGCCCTACTGCCGCTGGTAAAACGAGGGAGCTATTCGCCTTGATCTGAGCAGCACTTGGAATGCGGCCATTGGGTAGACGGTAGCCGTTTGAGTTAGCCGGCACGTTGGGGCTGCTCTGGATCCAAGGGATGAAGTTGACAGCAAGGTGGCTGTCGTTACCATTCATCTGGTTCAACACATCGGCAAGCTGGAAGACCATCTTATGGTCCTGGATATCGATGGTCTCGTTGGTGTCCGGGTACGTGGTTGAAACGGGGAAGCGCATAGGTCCCATCTCCTGGTACTGGTACTGGTCTGGGGTACTACCAGCGAGATACTTGGTGCGAATGCGACCGCCAATTCGCTGAGATGATTCTGTGATGTGCCAATCGTGGATACCTACGGAGTCGAGCAGGAGACTGGTCATCAACCCTGACATCCCACCGCCGAGGATGGCAATCTTCTTGCTCTTCGAAACAGCAACGAAAGAGGCGTTGTTCGACTTCGCTTGCATGTATGCAACGCCATCGAACCAAGGCCCCATTACATCTGCGATTTCCGAGATGTCCTCTCGCTTCCGAGTGGGCTGCTTGACGGTAATCGGCGCTGATCGACCAATCAAAGCAGATCCTGAGTATGCATGTAAGCAGCCGCCATGAGCGATATTGTCGGGCACAACCCAGACGAGACGCTCAGGTCGCGCTGACCGAGTTACTCGAGTGTTGCCGAGCTCGTGATGCCTGTCTTCAAGGCTTGCCATGTCGCAGCTGCCGTACACAACTCGTACATCCCCTTCGAAGGATTCATCGCCGAAGCCGACATGTACGTTGTGCACCGAATCTGTGATGACAGACAGAGGCTTGAAAAAGAGGAGATCGGATCGAGGTGCTACTGGACCAGCGAGAGTACTGCTGGCCAGGGTCAAGGCTGCTGAAGAAGCTGAAAGAAGGCCCTTCATGTTGGACTGTATGATGCTGGTGACTTGAGTACCATTCTTCAACGGCATCTCTGTCTTTTCATATACGATACGATGCTCGAAGGTATCCGGACAATAGTATCTCGTTTCGATCCCCGTTGGTCACCATTCTCACCTATCAACACTATCCAGATAGCCGTCACTCATCGAAGACGTTCGGGCATCGTAATGCCGCCGTCTACGGGGGAGCGTCGTCGACTCAGGAACTCGCGATAAGGTACTGCTACAGTGCGCAACTTCCCTGGAATGTTGTATTGAATCGCGGTCAGCCACGCGTAGCCGTTCCGTTCATAGGTGACTTAGGCTCCTGGATCCCATGTCAGTTGCAGTAGCGGCGACCGATGTCACCCAGGGCGTGGAGATGGAGGTGGAGGTGTGGAGAGTTACAGTGGTTCAACATAGTTAGCAAGGACGTTGAGATAACGACCGCAGGGTAGAACAGCTAGCCTCTTCTCTGCAATCACTACTCGGAGAGTTTTCAGATCGACACCCTGGGATAGTCTTCCTGTGACAATGAGGCAGCATCTGTAACCAGGAACGCACGACTTCATCCACCGGTCCTCACCCTGCAGCATCGTCACTACCATCACACCGTGGATTTTCTGCACTGTCTCCCAAATGCCATCGCATAGAGGTCGTGAACCACACAGGACTCGCACGAGCTCTAAAGGCCCCACATCGACCGGCATTCTAATGACATCTCTAAGTGGGACACGCTATTGCCACGCGTTTGTCAGATTCGCCGATGAAAATGCGACATCCGACCTCGACGGATCAGCAGATTTGGACATCCGACCAGCAACCCCATCCAATCACGGAGAGCGCCTGCGTGCTGAAAGTGGATCTGTCAGTACCGATAAGGCGAGCCCCGCATAAACCGCACTTCTTATCTCTCCGGCTCCCGTCTATCTTCATTTACGTCAAGGCCATCACCGCTTCACGCCCTGTAGGTATCTTACCGGGTTAACGGTGCCCTAAATGTACAAGCAGTCTCGGCGCCAAGACTCAACGACCTCTTACACAGCTGTCTGTTGGGTATTTGACTCGCTTTGACCCACTCCTGCCGGTTTAGGCCTCTCCAGAACACTCGGCGTACGTTCGTCCGCACAGATGGTATCTGCAGCATGGGTCTTCCAATTTGAGAATAGCCACCTGAGGATGCATGCTTCCTCGGTATCAATGGTGTTCGACAGCATACCATTTCCTGGGGCCGACGGCTGTCAATGCTGTTACGAGAGCTTTGCAAACAGTGTCTATCAAGAGTGTAATCTACGACTCGGGGTTGGATCACACGAACGCCTCCAGTCTTGGGCTGCGTCTTCACAGAAGGTCTTACCTGAAGTCCTACATCTAGAAGTCTTGGAAGCCATGGCGGACCGAACATGGCGACAAGCGAAAGATAACTTGAACAGTGGCATGCAACATGGTTGATTTGTTCCTATAAAGTTGAGAGCGCCCATTTCTAGAGGACGTACCAGCAAGTCCAATCATCTCAGGCTCTTCGGTGCACTTTTACTACACTTCATCCTCGTCCGAATGGTCTCCATCACATCTCTCCTCACCACTTTACTGGTATTCGCCGGCATCGCTAGCACAAAGCCTATACTAAAGAGCGCTGAGCAGCCTGTTGTAACGTATCTGGGCACTCAGGGCCCGATCCTTTCCAGCGGCGCATGGACGTCGAAGGGCATCGTCTACACCTCCGGCACTGTCCCAACCTTCAATGGAAGCATTGTCGCTGGTGGAATCGAGGAGCAGACGGTACGTACATATTCTTCTCACGATATCTAGCTTTCTACGGTCATAAACATAGCTGACTCCATCCAGGCCCAGGTCATCAAGAACATCGGTGCTGTGCTCGAGGAGGCCGGTACATCATGGGACTACGTGATGAAGACAACTGTCTTCCTCGCCAACATGAGCGACTACACCGCCATGAACGCAGTGTACGGCGCCATGCTTCCCTCGCCGAAGCCCGCGCGCACTGCTATTGAGGTCGGCAAGCTGCCTGGCAACTTCTTGATCGAAATCGAGGCCATTGCGGCTATCCCTGACTCATGAGCTCGATAGTTATCAAGACGAAAAAGCCTTTAAGCCCCCAGTTCGAGGACTCGTAGTCGTGTTAAAACCAGATCTTAACCAATCAATTTGACCAGCCTACAAGACTAGGTTTCAGCCTTTCCTACACTACCTTGAACTCGTTCTGCGCAGATACACTGGTCGCATACTGAGAAAGCAGGCTCATCGTATGCCGCATCCAATGAAGGTGGACTCATGATTGCTTTACAACCTTCTTTTCCGGCCCAGTTCATGTCTTCAGGGGAACTTCATCTATGCGTAACCTCTCGTGGTGGTGGTGGGCTGTAGCAAACAAACTCGCCCTTGGCAGATGAGCCGTCACTCCGTCGCTACAGATAGCACAAAGCCTATCCTGTGATCTGAGCCACATGGTTACTTTGATTCTTGTCCGCTCAAACAGCTCAAGAAAGGCCTGTGTTGTGTCCTGACTAGCTGCTGTAATCCTCGCGCTCTCAATTGTTTGGCCAACTATAGATGCGACGCATAGTTTGCGAGCAATAAGTAGAGCACCTATAGTTAACCTAGGGGCTTATAGTCGCTGTTTATGTGCAGGATTCAGGTGGCCATCTCACGTACACGTGGATAAGAGGGAGGTTGTGCGCGTGAGTCCTCTTCTAGTATCCACTCCACTAGAAAACACTCTTGCTCTGGTGTCAACCGCTGTTGATTTAAGTGAGCCATCGCGTTGGGTTGACAACTGTTGATACGTTCTTGTAGCGTCGATCGCGGCACGTCCCATGCCTGTGCAGCCTTTCGCTGGCTTGTAAAAACACTAGAATTGAGATCGTCAATAACACATTGCAAAGCCAGCTCACGGGCATCCATAGCAAATGCGTGGTGTTAAAATGTAGATAATCAAAAAGAGAGTGACGGGTTGTGGTGGGGTGGCCGATCACTAGGTATATAACGGTTTTCGAAATACCATGTACATCACGTGCAGTGGCGAGGGGTATTCTTAGAACTTCAACGCATCACCTATAGGCTAATTCTGAGTGTATTTTGATGATTGCAGCTGTTTTCTTAACCTTCTATACACGCTTAATTTATTCATGAAGCTCTATCGCGACTCTCGCAACTGTTTTCTGGTGTTGTTGGGGCAGAGACTCTGCGTGGCAACCAACCCATGATGCGCGTCAACGGCAAACGTTTACCCGCCACCACGCAGCAAGCTGTAGTAGAGCATATAGCTGCTGGGGAGGAAGATTCCAAGGTTTCTGCTGCTTGCCAATTCGATCGTCGCACTGTAGCAAAGCTGCGATTAAGCTTGGAGTACTGGGGACAGTGCTATCCTCCGCCTTCTGTCAGGCTCGGCCGCCCGCCTTTACTGCGGCAAGCGCAGCTAGAAGCACTCCAATTATACCTCGATGGGCGACCCGGCGCCTATCTGGAGGAGATGCAGCAGTGCTTATACAACGATTACGACGTGGAGTGCTCTCTATCAACAGTGTTGGGGGCTTTGGAGAAGCTTCACTACAGCAGGAAGCTAGCTACAAAGCGTGCAATTGAGCAAAGCGAGCCACTCTAGAGGGTTTACAGAGCGAGGATGCAACAGTACAAGGCAGAGTAAATCATTGCGATTAATGAGAGCGCTTGTAACAAGAGGACTAGCGACTGTAAGTATAGTTAGAGTAGAGTTAGCACGCCTGTTAAAGTAGCTTACTCTATAAAACAGAGTAAGTGATAGTCACTTCTGCTAGCAATAACAGTTAACAGATACCTTAGTTACACTATTTTTTAAAGCTTAATTACCTTAGAGATTATAAAGGACTTCCTTAAACGCTCTGTGTTGCTATATACAACACCTAGGTACTCTGTTATTGTACTAGACAATGCCTCTATTTATTAATTAACTTAGGTTTGTGAGCTTTGTGCGATGTACAAGGTGGAGCTGGAGTACCTTCTACTATACTTACCTAACTACAATCTAATTAAGAAGAGCTTTAAGCAGCTAAAAAGTTAAATTAAAAGACACTCTAATAATTAGGCTTTGTACAACAACTTCTAAATAGCT